GACAGAAAAATATTAAAATGCCAGTAATATAAATACTTCAACTTTTGTAGAGACCTAACTGATTCTAGCAGCAATATGCTTCATTCTAAGGTATTAAGCCTGAATGGTTTCAGTGGCGTTGTCTAGAAACCAAGTGTAGGCAAGTAGCCTAAAATCAAATCCTGACACAACATTTTAAAATCTTTTCATTCAAAGCAACAGGCAATTGATTGGTGCTGAATTGAACTGAATTAGAAGTGGATTTTGTTTTATGACATTCATATCAATGAGTTAAAAGGAGTCTGTACTTATATCAAGCAAGGCGAGAYACCAGTCTAATCCAGAACAATAATATAGAAAGCCAAAGAAGCCAAATATTTCTATTACAAAAATAAATCGAGTTAAGTGAACGAAGGGTCTCAACTTTATAGATCAAGAATATTCTGCAAATATCAACATTCTAACAGGTTTGGAAAAAAATATGCTTCAAAAAGCGTATTTTTGCAACTCTATGCAAATAAGAAATATGGTTAATATCATAAGCATGAAAAATGTTCTGGAAGGTTCTGCCAAGAAGCACATGGGGAGCACGGCAGTGCTGGGATTACATGGTTGCAGTCCCCTGCAGGGTTAGTTCCGAGGCAGGATTTGAGTGCAAAACTTCTGACAAAGTTCCCTTAGAAGGAGCATCAACCTTCTCACCATGGATGAGAGACACTGTCCTCCTAAACTGAAAACCAACCCGGAGGTGGCTGGTAACGGGGACGGACCAGACCCGGGTTTCTATTCACCTACYACAGCTTCAAGCAAGACATCTCAGTCCAGCTACAGTGTTGTAGTTAAGTAAACAGCTGGTGGGTCCATTCATCTCCTTATGTAATATAATAAAAACTTCAAAGAAAATTTGGACAACGTTCTCCTAAATAAAAAAAGCAACAGAACACAACGTGCAAACTCGAATTGTTGGCATAAACCAACGTTAGATATATAAAGATGCCTACCAGAGCTCTGACCAGCTCTGCTTACTAAAACTGCTACGCAGATTTGACAGCTTCACAGAGTAAAAATTCAAAAAATTAGTCCAGACCAAGTGCTCAGACTCTAGGAGGTACTCAGAATATTTCAGACATCCCCCTGTTCATTCTAACTACAAGAATTGCAAATAACTTGCATTTGAATTGCACGTGGACCTCAGGATTTCATCAATACAAGCAGAAGTGAGAGAAATTTAAGAACTACAATAACATTCTTGTGAAATTTAATTCGGAAGAGGACCTATTTTCTGTTAAATATTTTGAGTATGTTAAAGTCATTTTCATTTTTAAGATCATAGAGACTTATTTGATAGAGTACTCTGGAGGCATGTGAGAAAAGGCAGCAGTGAAAGCTAAATAAATTATCTCCCCTCAACACATCCACTGTCAACATCAGCGTGTTCCACATCCTGAATATAAAGTACTGAAGACATTGCCACAGCTTTTGTCTCTTGCATAAAAACACACACGCAACAATTTCTAAAGCAGCAGCAAAGTTTATTTTCCTGCAAACATGGATAAACATTTTATCAGTATTCAGAACTAATCATAATGATGATTAATCTGCCTGCTCAGCAGAAAGATTTTATGTTTCTACAAATTGACATCTGAAATAACTTGTAATTTTAGGACAGTTCTGGTGATATTAGGGTTTGAATTTTACACATGCAGGGGTTCCACTCTACAACTGGAATTGCTACAATCTTACTGAAACCTGCTTAGAAAAAAATTCATACAAAGTTCAAGGTTAAYTTCATTTTGCTTTTGTTAGTGAAATGCTCTGAAAAACAGTTGCATGTTGAAGAGAAACCTAGCAAAGCAAGTGGGTTTTTTAAGCTAGATTAGCACCAATTTAGGAATTACAGCTATCAATCCCTACTTGTCTACTTGAGGAAATGGATACTGTTTGTCAAGTAAAAATAAAAAGAGGTTAAGAACATGCTGCACACTCAGGCTGGGTTTTAGAAGGCTTAGCTCAATGTACAGCACAGTTGTCCAACTGTCCACAGGCGCTTCTTARGAATTTCAGTGGAGATGAGGTATTTACTGACACATTCCACTACTGAAGCTGGTAACCCAAACACAACAGCTTAAACGATGGAATAAACCAAAATAAACACCCGCACACAGATTTTTTTCATTACTTTTGAATCTCATACCAGAACAGGTTGAAAAAACAGTCCGGTTTCACAGTATAAACAAGGTTATGGTTTACAAGATTTATCTAATTGCTACTCCAGCTGCAATCAGTAGTGTATAAAAGTGATATGATGGGCAGAAGTCATCTTGGAAAGTCTCTGTTCCTGAAGAATTACTTTAGATTTACAGAGGGCTCAACCCAGGAAAGCTTTCACAGTACAGTGCTGCTGGTGGCACCAGTGAGCCCAGTGCCACAASTAACGTTTACACTAGATGCCCAGAATTGCTTCATGCCCCAGTTGATCACTGCTTTACAAGCCTGGTGCATGGGCCCCAGCAGCACCACCAAGAGCAGCAGCAGCCGCCAGCTCTCCCAAACCACCCACCACAACGTTCCCGTTCCTCTAAAGTCACCACAGAGAAGCCGTGTCAGCTGTGCTTGGAATTCACAACACTGAAGAGAACATTTCATATCTTTTCTGCTTTACATTTTCTTTTGGGAAAGACTGCTGATTTTGCCTCCAGAAAACACGAGGTTATTTTTAAGAAACCCACCAGTTATCTTGCTGGTGCACCGTTCACTATAAGCAGCAAACAGCAGTTTTTGCAGCTGTAGCTACAGACACCACTCCGAGAACCTTGTCCTGTAACACCGAAAATCTCCTGCAGTTACATTACGAGTATCAAGAGAAGTGAGAGAAGTTACAGCACAAAGCAGGTGAACACAAAAGCTTTAGATCCAGAGCAATCCACGAGACATCCACGGAGGCTGCAGCCCCTGCAGCACCTTCAGAGGTGAAATGGAGCTCGAGGAAGCACTGCTCCCCYGCCTGAAGGCAGCACTGCCTGCAGTGTGCAACTTACACTGACATGTCCAGAAGAGCCGTGTGAGACTCACTACGGGATATTTGGAGGGAAAAACAAATGCAGGGGAAAGCAGGGGGAAACAAGGTTACCTGGRAAGACACAAGCACCTGAGAACAGAGGCATACGGGGACGGAGGGGGCAGGTGCATGCAAGAACCCATGCTCTGCACCCCACCAGCACAATTTGTCCTGTAGTCTCCTAGTTGCTCGAGTGAGGTGGCTGCAGTCTGTGTGCACACACGTGYATGGAGGGCTGAGTGCCAGCAGCTGGAGAGCCGAGTGCATGAATATCATCCAAGTACATCAGTTGGCACGGGACTGCTGGGGGCATCACAGCCAACGACCTGACACGCAGGGTAGGGGGCTTGGGAGACAAGCACTGCAGTGGCTGCGAGTCTGTGCCAGGGAACGGAGAGCCCAGAGGGGAAGGGCAGCGCCAGGAGGTACAAGGCAGTTATTGGAGAGACCAGGACACCTGGGGGTTGCCTGCTCGTAAGGCTGCRCTTCTGAGGAGATTTGTTTACATGCCTGCCTCTCTCGTGCATGAGGCAACCAGAGACTAAGTGTCTTAGGACCATTATCAGAGGGATCTGCAGTGTCTTCATCTGTTCAGGCCTGCACATGCATAGATGTGAGAACCAGCACCTGAGGTAACCAGGAAAGYCAGGGGCCAGCTACTGGCCAGACTGCATGCCCAAGACTGCTTACTGCTGGTGGGATTCATACTGTGAATATATGTTGCATAAACAGGCTTTCCTTCTGCCCAGGGAACTTGATTGGCCCTATGTTTGCAAAACCACTGTTTTCCTGTATTTACACATGCATATGTGCACATAAACTCAGTCTCACTAGTGGCTGCAGGAGGAGCCATGAAGCTGTGGCAGTTTCACATCGCTCAGGCTACAACATAAAGCAACTTCTAAGATGGACAAAATTAAACAGGGTTTTTAACAAAACCTTCTAGCATATATTTCCGACCATTACAGAATCACAGTGATAAGCAGCAATTAAATGCTGCTTTAGAACTTCAGGTCTCATTAAACATTACACAAAGTGTTATCAATTAAATTAACCCTAAAACCAAGGAAAAGGGGCACCTGTACTCACCCAGCCTRGAGCACCCCCTGCACTACATCCTTCCACAGGGCTTGTGACAAGAGCAAMATGAAGATACAACCTCACAGTCAGGCCCATCAAGATGTATTCRCTACAGTTCAGACACCTTTCAATACTTCTTCAGCACCTACCACCTAACCTTTTGGAGTTATTCCTGGGGCTAATGAACGTGTACATACACAAATGAACAGAAGCAATCTGGGCCTTGTGCTACACTAGATTAACAACCCAGGCTTGCATCTTGAAGAACTGAAGCAGGCTGGAAGGAGAGCCTGCTGGACACATTGAAGATAACAGCTCCGATGTGAAAAGCTCATGACTTCCAAAAAACATCCATCTACTCTGGGTAGTTGTGGAGTATCCACACAAGGCCAGCAAGACTTGCATTTCATTGCAAGTTTTCCATTATTTCAGGTATCCTGATTCTGCTCTGTATCACTCTGGATTAGAGTGGGTTGACCCTGGTACTCTTCCAAAAGACACACACATGAATAGCAGAACTAGCCATTGGCTTTTAAAAAGGTCAAGTTGTTCTGTTTACAGAGAAAAAAATGTTGTTTTTAAAGAATCATTTAATGTTTGTTCCTTTCTCTCTCTACCCAACAGAGTAATCTCAGTATGAATGTACTGAGAAAAAAGTAATTCTTGGAAGTACTTTCCTGATAAATCATTTTACACTATTATGATACACAGCAAAAGAAGATCTCCAGAGCTATAATTACACGAGATACACTAATGACCAAATAATGCCACAACTGCATGACAGTAAACTTTTATGAAAAAGTAATATAGGTAAGCACTGCGTCACTCAAAAAAACCTTCAAATTCTCTCACAATACATGACAGTAGTTAAAAAAGCACTTACCAGCTTTCCGTGGATTTAATGTTTTCATCTCCAACCTCCCAGGTTTACTGAGTCCGTTAGAGGGTTTTGTAGCCTTCACTTCTACGTTTGACTCCACAGACTGTGTGACATTTACATTTTGATTGTGGCAATGTATTTTAGAAAGGGTTCTTGCATGTCCTGGAGCACTTCCTTGTTTCCTATCTTCCTGCAAAAGAGAAACAAGTTCAGGATAGTATTTCATTCATGCAAACCAAGAGAAATGAAAAAGAAAGAGCAACAAAATGACCTTAGTAGATGCATAATCCTCATTATTAAAAAAAAAAAAAGTATTTATTATATTTTAACTGATAAAAGAGAAATTCAGACTTCAAGACAATAATTTGTTATAACTGTCAGACAGACTTGGGCACTTCACAATTCTGAAAAACAGAATGGCAACCTGCCAGATCATATACAAGTTCTGACATCTTTTAATAAAACAAAATGTTACCAACTTAAYTGTTACTAGAAGTCTGATTTTTTCACATTTAAGAATAGAAAATATAAAATTATCTACATAACTGTATACATCCCAATGCTCATGAGAATAAATGCATGCACACCACACTAATCACCCTATACACAAGGAATGGGCTTATAGTGTTAGGAATTGAATTYAACATAACTCTTCCATTCATAAAAAAAAAAAAATTGTGAAACCTTTTGGTTGATATTAAAAGTTTCAGAAAGTTACTTGCAGCACCGCCACAACATAATGTACTGAGATTTCTCACCACTTCTGCCAGAGCTTCCAAACTTTCAAATCCAACAAAGCTCAGGCTAAAATTCAATCCATGCCTCGGCTACACTGAGGCTTGTATTTAGCCTCAGTACTTATTACTCCAATTTGAAAACCTTTCTTCTTCTCCTGCTTCACTGAGGTGAGAGAAACCTATGTGAGAAGTAAGACCAAACATAGGAAAAACAAAGGCATCAAAGTCTAAAGGTAAACAGACTGGTTATTTAAGCAGGGATTGTTTGTGGTGAGCTCAGATTAGTTTTTTAATAACAAGACTGTAGAGATATGCTTCACTTTTCAGTTTACCTCTTTTAACTTCATTTCTGGGCCYGATTCCTCAGTTTCGCTCTTGAGACCAGCTGTGTTACTCCTTCCTGGGGGTATAAACCTGGGCCTTTTGGCTGCACTTCCCAGCACTTGACTGGGAGCTGCTGACCGCCTCATGGTTAGTCCTAGTGCTCTGCGTGGTGGAGAAGGAAGGAAGGAAGGAAACAGATAAAGGCAGCTGTAGTCAGAACAGACCTTAAATATATATACATTTTAAAAAAAAAACTATTTTCAGATAACAGTGAAAACGCTCTTTTAAAAAAAAAAAAAAAAAAGTAAAAGCTTAAAATAATTCCAACTAGCAGGTTTAATTCCCAAGTATTACACAATTATAACAAAGTAATTTAACAGCAATGCGTGAAGTGCTAGGAAAGACAGATTATGTTTCCACTGTACATTGCAATGCAGCCATTGAACGTTTCACTGAACGTTTCCTTTTTCATTTGCAAACCAAATTATGCTGCTCAAGAGCAACCAGAGCTCTGGAAACAGAGCAGTATTGGGTTCCTTAACAAACTTGCATCAGCCTGTGAAAGGCAAGTCAATCTGAAACAGAACTAGCTGTTTGTTCCGAGCACCTGAAGCACCGAATTTTGAAAAACCTGTTATTAGCACACAACGAGCAATGAATATTTAAGGTATATGAACATCTTCCCTATGAGCAAAGGCTGAGGGAGCTGGGCCTGTTCAGCCTGGAGAAGAGGAGGCTGAGGGGGGACCTGATCAGTGCGTATAAATACCTCAAGGGAGGCAGTGAGGAGGAGGGGGCGGCCTCTTTTCAGTGGTGGGCAGGGATAGGACTAGAGGAAACGGCCACAAGCTGAGGCACCAAAAGTTCCACAGGAACTTAAGGAAACACTTCTTGACWGTGAGGGTGACAGAGCCCTGGAACAGGCTGCCCAGGGAGGTTGTGGAGTCTCCTTCTTTGGAGACCTTTAAAACCCTCTTGGATGCAGCCCTGTGCCACGTGCTCTAGGTGACCCTGCGTGAGCAGGGGGGTTGGACTCGATGACCTCTGAGGTCCCTTCCAACCTTMRGCATTCTATGATTCTATTCTATATATGGGAGAAGTGTTTTGCATTCGACAACTAATTAGATTTTGGTCATTCAGACTATAGGAAGAATTCAGCACAGAATCATCTCTGACTTATAATGGAGATTATCAGTCCATATGATCTCTACTGGAAAAACAGCAGGAATGTTTTATATATATATATATATATTTTTATAATATATATATTATAATATATATATATAATATATATATATATTTACCTCTTCAGAATATAAAACCATTATTGCATGTTCTCTGTCTGCCCTCCAAAAAAGAGGACAAAACCAAACATACAGAAATGGTAACAGGGTAAAATGCAGTTGTGACCAGTGCAGTAAGAAAGATACCCCTTACGCCCTAAAGCAGTGGTAACAACAGCAGCAAGGAATCCCACGAGCACCACGCAGCAGAGCGAGTCACGAGCACGCGGCTGGCCCGGTGCAGCCAACCCGGGCCTCCCTTCACTCTATTCCCGGTTTTCCAGGGGGCCGCCGCGGTCACGGACACGGTCACGGGCGGCCCCGCCACCGGGCACCCGGGCGAGCTCGCCAGGGGCCGCCCCACGCGCGGATGAGGAGGCGCCCGCCCGGGGCGGCGGCGGGTCCCGAGGGGCCGTCGCGGCCGGGGCGGCGGGACGGAGCGCGCCCGGGCGGCCGTTAGCCCAACGGCGCCCGCACCCGGAACGGCGTGACAGCAACATAAAGTAAAACAGCGGAGCTTGTACCGGAGAGGGGCGCGGCGGCCGAAAACACCCTTTACAAAGTCGCTGTGGGAAGGAACAACCCGGCCGGGCGCGGGCCCCGAGCCCGGTRCCGGGAGCTGGATTTTGGAGAAAAWTAAAACATTGCGCGCCCCGGAGCCCGTCCCGAGCCCTGGACTGCAGCGCCGCCGGAGCGCCAGCCGGGCACGCAGCCCTATGCGGGGATGGAGGGGACCGGACCGGACCGGGGCGGCCGCGCCGGTACCTGCCCGCCCGCCGCTCAACCGTCCCGCCCGCCGCCGGCTCCCGTCAGCCGCCTGGCGCTGCGCGCATGCGCACCACGCACCTCGGCCCGGCGCCAAGCGCGCATGCTCGCGGCGCGCGCCCCGGCGGCCAGCCCACTGCGCATGCCTGGCCGCACCCGCCCGGGAACGGCGGCTGTGCGCGTGCGCGCTGCCGCCGGGCTCGCGGCGGCGGGCGGGGTCTGCGCGTGCGCGGGGCTTCCGCGCCACACACAGCATGGCCGCCAGGCCCTGCTCTTTGCGCCGCGACGCGCGGCCGTCAAGCGACACCTGCCGCGAACGCGGCGTCGTGCTTTTGCGCCAAGGCTGGTGCAGATGTGGGTCTGCAGGCAGCGTGGGGGGACAGCCACTGAAACAGGAAAATCACCTGCGGTRTTAGCAGAGGCTGTGGCACGTCGAAAACTGGAGGGAGACATAAAATACATTTGAGAAAACAGAAACCAAGAGTGTGTCGCTGTTCATCTTTTCTTGCCTTGTGGGTTTAGCACCTCTGCACTCCAGATGCTCAGCAGTGCTGGTAACAGCCAGATGGTGGACAAACTGGAGGACTGACAGCAAAGGCAAGACAAGGTTTGGAAGTGTTAGCAAGGCATGAGAAGAGGTTTGGGAGTCAAAGGCAAGACARGAAGAAGCACTGGGGTGGAATAGAAGTTGAAATTAATGCAACTTGTTTGGGTGAAGTAAGCAGTCTGTAGTGCTCGATAGGYTGGCATGTGTCCGCTTGTTTCCTGATTAATGTACCGTTTTTGAAGTTGGCAAAAGAGAAAACATCTCCAGTTCTTCAAGTCAAGAAATTACTACGGGCAGAGGGTACAACAGGGAGCTTAGTGAAAGACCTTGCCTTAGGTTGCAGAGTGAAAACGTGCCTTGACTCATTATCCTGGCCACAGGGATCGTGGCATTGTGTAGGTGCTGCTACACCATCAGTTACTGGAGTTTTTGCCAAAAGTGCCCCGAGTGTATCATGTACCTCAGAGATCAGTCATTCTGCTTACATTCTCTTTTAGTTTCAGGTTTTTCATACCTGTATTTGAGACGCATCATTTTTGTTTGAAAGTTCAAATGATGAAAATGCTCTTTCCTCCATTCTGATAGACATCAAGTGTGCTAAAATAAGCCAAGGAGTGTCATGAAGGCTGAATGTGGAGATCTCAGCCATGTGTGTGCATGAAATATAACTGGGTACCTCCACGGTTCCTTTAGAATAGAAACTCGAGGACATCCAAACCGGTCACCCTAAACTAGCAAAGTCCTGAACTGCCTCTCTTTGCAGGAGACCTATAAAAGCAATCAAGAAAACAGCAGTGTGAAAAAAAATCATCATCCTCATAAGGCAGTATTTTATTTTGCGGGCTCTTCTAAAGCACAGAGTGTTTCTTGCTGCAAAGGGAGGGCATAGGCAGGCTCGTAAGCACATGGAGTGCTGAGGAGTCGAACAAATCCTGACAGCTACAGTAACKTGGGCAATAAAGAAAAACTCGAGGCTCTAAATCACTTGGCCTGTTAAAGTCAGGGGTAGGTTTGTCCGTGAAAGAAAATGGGCATTTTCGGGTTTGTTCGGAAGGGCAACGCGGCTGCGCCCGGTTCCTCRCACCAGCCCCTTGGGCCCGGCCCAAGGAGAGGCCGGGACGGGCAGAGCAGCCGGGTCTAAGGGAGGAGCCTCCCCAGGGGCCTCGCGCTGGGAGCGCGATGGCAGAGCCTTGGGATTTTGTTGTTGCCGCTGCCTTGGGCACGGAGCCTCCGGGAGCGGCTCCCTGGAGGCGCCGGAGCCGCTCCGGCCTCTGTCCCGCGCCGGGGCTGCTGCTTCGCACCGAGAGGCCCCTGGTGAGACCTACAGCTCTGTGCAGCTCTGTAGCAACACGAAAACACGCCGCTGTCTTCCAGCAGTGCGGTCACTGCCGCTCTATTTACATTTTCTACCTTTATAGATACGGTAGGGATAAAGCAGGGGCATCTTGGACCTTAAACTCTAACAATAACAGTATTTGTATCAATTTGAAGTACTCTTTGTATAAAAGTTGAATTAATAAAGGGTGTAAATATAAAGATGAATGGAAGTCACCTTGTTCTTTCTGTTCATTTTGAGCATCCTCTTTATCAGAGGAAGAGCGGAGCTCGAGCAGAGCGGCTGCACCATCCAGGCTGGGACTACAGAATGGTTGAGGTTGGAAGGGACCTCTAGAGATCATCCAGTCCAGCCCCCTGCTCCAGCAGGGACACCCAGAGCATGGGGCACAGGGCGGCATCCAGGTGGGTTTGGAGACCTCCAGAGAAGGAGACTCCACAGCCTCCCTGGGCAGCCTGTGCCAGGGCTCTGTCACCCTCACAGTGAAGAAGTTCCTCCTCACATGGAGATGGAACTGCCCGTGTTTCAACTTGTACCTATTACCCCCTGTCCTGTCACTGGCCACCACTGAGAAGAGCTTGGCCCCTTCCTCCCTGCATTCTCCCTTCATGAACTTMTACAYGTTAATCAGATCCCCTSTCAGCCTTCTCTTCTCCAAGCTAAACAACCCCAACTCCCTCAGTCTCTCCTCATATTATAGATGTTGCAGTCCCTTAATCATCTTGCTTGCWCTCTGCTGGACCCTCTCTCGGGTCCAGGCCGTGCTCTGGGGTCCAGGACGTCAGAGACRTCAGGAGCAGCCGGGACTGCCGCCGCCCCGGCACGCTGGCGTGGGGGGCAGGAGGGAGGTGTGGGGGTAAACAGGGCCCAAAGAGCCGCCCGCTCAGGAGGCGCTCCCTGCTTCCCAGAGGGGGGTCCGAAGGGGATGAGCAGCCCCCGGGAAGGAGCAGAGGCAGCAAGAGGAGCAGGGACCGGCCTGTGGAGGCACCGGCTGCTGCACGAGCAAGAAGGGGAAATAACCCATCAGTTAAAGGGTCCTTAACCCCAGGGTGCGTTTCCTGTACGTCTGGAGGTCCCACGTGTGAGGTAAGAACACGGAAGGTCAGTAAAACAAGAGCCTGCCAAGCTGTTCGTTCTGTGGGGTGCTCCTGGGGCTGGGTTTGCGTGCGCAGTAACGGGGTGCAGGGGGAGCCCACGCCCCCGGGCCGCCTCGTGCAGCCCCCGGGCCGCCTCGCGAGGCGCAAAGGGCTGAAACTGGCACTTTGTGGCACAGAGCAGCCCGTCCTGCAGCCGCCCCGGCCCTCTGCTCCCACGGGTGGCACTAACACCGCCACGGGCACGGCCGGCAGCCCCGGGCAGCGAACCAAGCCAGGCTTTTCTCACAAAACTCAGCCCCACGGAGCAGCTCTCGCCGATACCGTCTCCTTTTTGGCATGTGCCCTCCCGGAGGGCCGGGAGGAGGAGCTGCTGCCCACGGAGCCGCAGGGCGACAGCGGCACCCGCAGCGCCAGGTTCCGGCCCGGCAGGAAGCGGAGCGCCAGTTCCCTTCTGGGCACGGTAGAAAGAGCGACGTTTAACGATGCAAATGGCATTTGCTCAAGGTAAGAACTACAAGTCAAAACACCTCCAACTGTTAAACAGGGTCTTCACAGCATTATTTCAAGTTCAATTTACCCAAGAAGGACCTCAGAACTAAATCATTTCCAGAAAACACAGGCAGACCCTTCCAAGATTGCCTACATTTACAGAGACTGTGTTCACCTTGACCAGTGTTAGCAACCCTTTATTTCTCATTGCCTGCTTTGGCAGTGACCAGTGTGACACGCCGTGTTGTGTATTTTCAAGGAGCAGTATTTAATATTTACACATTTATTCCATGCTTGATGCCTTTCTTCACCTTTCAAGTTCCCTGACTGAAATCATTCACATTCCTGCTAGTTTCAAATGCTGGGAAGTTTCTAAAAAAATAAAACCCCATAAATAGATGTCATGAAGGAGCCCGTCAGCTTTAAAAACACATATGCAGTGCTCCTTAAAAAACAGCATTATATAAATGTCCGGGCGCCACCCCTTTGAGGCATTACCATTCACTGCAAAATTATATCTTCCTGTTTCTTTCACCCTTCAGAGAGTTTTGCCTTCCAAGCGATTTTCATCGAGCCTGTTTTCTAAACAGTGAAAATCCATAGAGGGAGCAGTTGTTCAGACTTTACTGCACCCAGGCAGCTTAGTGCGAAGGCAGCACCTCAGAACTGGGGGACAGGGAGGGCCGGGGCTCCCCACAGAGTCCCCAGCTCCACAGGGGTGCCAGGGCCTTCCCACGCTGCAGGACCCAGCTGAAATTCTGCATTTCCAGGAGGCTCAGAGTGTAGGGAGCACCGACTGAAGGGGCTGTTAAAGCTGATGCTGCCCCACAGATGAGCTGCCCAAAGCACCATGACTTAAAACAAGAGCACAAGGAGGCCTGGGGTAGACAAATACCCCTTTATTGGCCCTTGTCACAGCAAGAGATTCGGGGCAAGTGAAAAACTGAGCCSAGGTGGAGATCATAGGTAAGAAACATGAATGGTCTTCAAGCAAGGACTACCCCTGCTCAGTCCAGCACCTGCCCCTGGCCAGGTTCCTGGGAGGGGGTTATGCCTATGAAATCCCACAGAGCTCCAAGGAGGGCAAGCTCCCGGGCAGCCCACTTCAGGCACTACTTCTAGCAGGAAAATTAGTGCCAAGGTAAATGGAGAGGTGAAGTAAGAAGCAGGATGCCATCTCATTCCTACTGAAGTCGATGAGATTTTCTGTGGAGTTCAAGAGGTGCAGGATCCCACTCGGGTCTCTAATCACAGCATCAAGGATGTTCAACAAAATTTATAGAAGTTAAACATTTGGGTTTTTTTTCCACAGACTAAGTCAATTTTATATTAAACGTTTCCCCTTGTACTTCAACCGTTGGTCATTACAGAACTCAGTCATTAGTTACA